TAACACCCAACAGGCAGGTGCGCATCAGGTGAAGGCCTCTGGCGCACCCCACTCTCCAATAATTCTGCGTTCAGCTACTCGCCACGATCGGGCACAGGGCCTGAGACGAGCGCTGCGACAGGCTTCTTCTGATATGGTGGGCATGACGTCACACATCATGTTATTCCACATCGAGCGTCTAGACCGACGTTGGCCAACGTACATATGCGCAGCCCAACCGACGGCAACCTGAAAGCAAAGCATTCGCACAGGCAGGCCATTACCACAGACACAGTCAGGATTGTTGATCATTATCAATTTATTGATTATTATATTATTAATTATTATATTATTGATTATTATTAATTATTCATATCATCATATCATCATTATCTATCCATCATCATCATCATGCCATCATCATCGTCGATCACCCCGCGTTATGTATATGAGCAGCATCCCCCTGACCCCTCACGCAAGGGGGTTTAGCACGGTGCTGAGCAGTTGTACTGACGCCCTAAAGCACACCGCCAGCATCATTAAACCTCATCAGCATACCCTAATAAAAACATCTAGCAATAACCCTGAAATTGACTGCATAAACACACTCATTCAAAGCAAGATTTTCAACTATTGCACGTCGCGTACTAGCCACAAGTTCCCATCTCGCTAATAACACTCCGTGTAACAGTCGGAGAGCCTGGTCGGTTTAGTCGCGTACCTGCAGCATTCTCGGTTTCAGTGCAACTAAAAACTTCTGAACGCTACTCTCTGAATAACCACCACCCCCCCACCCATCCCCCGCACTAAAAACTTCTGAACGCTACTCTCTGAATAACCACCACCCCCCCACCCATCCCCCGCACATGTACCACCCTATGCATATGATCGCAGACCCCAGCAGCTCGATTTTCAACACATGGAGAAATTTGTCCCCCCAATTTCAAAACCTATTTCGAACACTGGAACTGGAAGTCGCGTCGCCCCATCCCGTCACTGTGGTTGGCGGGTACGCTTGCAGTGAACTAACTAGACTCGCTCACACTGCCCTGCTTATCAAATCACCACCAATTCATCAACAGTCTGCATACACGGTGAAATCAAATACAAATTAAATTTGAGCGTGAGAGTATTTACGTAAAATCTACGGAAGTCAGTCTGCTGTCAATTCCTTTCATATGTGCTGACGAGTACAATTTTAAGAAGTATTACTGTGGTTCCAAAAGCTAATATGGCCTCAGGGCTGACCTACATGTTTACATCCCCATTTGTGTGTTTCTGTTATCTGAATTTGTTGACCTGTCATGATTGACCATCATTCCACGCGGTATTACCAACCTGGTTCCAATATGTGCACACGTGAAACATACTTCGACTACGACTATATCAAGAACGTATAAAGAAGGCCTTCTTTATACGCTCTTGACTATATACGACTCTACGAGTTCAAGTTGGAAGTTTTTATACAAACAAGAGCACAGATGGGTACAGACTACAGAGATGCGTATCTGTTAGAAAACTCAACGTTGAAACATCCTAATCATCACGATATGTAAATACCTGAACACTAACAATAAATTTAAATCACTCCCCCTGTGACTTTGAACTACAGACATGTCGATAGTGCACTAATAATTAAATAGACAGCTTCTAATGGGTTACCTCAGGAAAACAAACGTTTTTTAACACACATCATCAACATTTGGACTGTCACGAAATAGATTTAAAACCTATAACTTCACATCATATATATAACAAATCAGTGTCACCTTCATAACAGAGCTAGCATTCCTATTAGTATTATCCAAAACATTTCAGTTGTCTACTCAAATTAATCTTTTTTTATTTCATCCTGGTCCTTATGCTCAAATATATATCCTATAAAGCCATAGTGTGACAGTGTAACATCAGCAATCGCTGTCTAGATGAATAACTGCTTCACGCAATCATTGTGCTAAATATAAGCAACAAATCCTCGAAGATCGCAAAGATATTAGAGATTAATTTACAGTAATGATTGGGACCGATGGCTAGCACTATCCAAACATGGTTCCTACACCGAATTATAAGCCTCATCTTAAGATACTGATCTTATATGCAAACTGAGAGATTAGTGGTGAACTTCCATTCGTTCATATAGTGCACAATTCAAACAAAATGCCAATGCACCCTAATAAATTCATGCTAAGTGTGTACACTACACTATTATTTCAGGGTGTTTATTCATCGCCATGGTATAAATTACAAAATGACAATATAAAATACTTTGCTATAATGCCGTGTGATCCCTGATTAGGACATGGTCGCTACCAATTTTCGTAATAGAAGCAATCAGATTGTTTACGAATAGAAATTCCTAACAGTAACTGTATAATAAAGATGCCCACCAATGCCCCCATAGTCATAGATGAGCAGAACAGTATAGCTATTGTATCAGGTTTAGAGAATGACGCCGTGACTGTGACTCAGTGTGAGGGTGACGGATAGAGTGGTCAGTGAGCATAGTCAGTGAATACAAATATTACAGTGAATCAGACTTGTAAATAAAATGTTCACGAATTGATCAGGAGGATATATGCTTCTTTCCTATTTCAATCCTAGAGTAATTCACTAACAATATTAATAATGTGCGGACTGGCACTGTAATAACGTCAACAGGCAACCCGTAACTGTAAACAAAGGTCAGTAGCATGACTATTAGTATTACTACTAGTACTAGTAGTAGTAGAACTACAACTTTGAAATAGTACTAACAAACACACGCGCACACACACGCATGCACCCTCACACGCGCGCACGCACGCACGCACACACGCACGCACGTATGCACCCTCACACGCACGCACGCACGCACGCACGCACGCACGCACGCACACAAAGAAGCAGTGATGATGTTACAGCGTGTGTGTGTGTGTGTGTGCGTGAGAACGCACGCACTGCCAGCTTCACAAACACGCGTCGGCCCGAATCTCTGCTCAGAAATTTCATTTAACGCTGCATTTCGCACGCCGCAATCAATTTATCCCGCGGCGGCGGCCGTGGTCGTGGCAGCGGGCGTAGACAGCAGCTGCTGCAGACGCGTGTACCGTATATATACGGAGGCCGCACCGCCATCAACGTACGCACCTACCGGGTAACCCTACGCTCGCGAATCAACTAATTAGCGTTGAGGACAGGTGAACTAATTAGAACCTCGGTAAATAGTATGTTCAGAATTTTGTATTATTATTGTATCTGCCGAACTAAACATGCTGCGTGCGATTCGAAGTTATTATCAGAAGCCAGACTCCTTGCTCTATTCGAATGGTTGGCTCTTTCCGTGTGTGCATTCTTGCAGCGGCTTTTGAAAAGACATGTATACGTGACACGAAGTCGACATTTCAGCGTTAAAGAGAAACGGCTTGGCAGTTTTCGCGAAAGTCCGCCTTTTTACAAAACAAAATCACTGAAGACTATTTTAATTAACGAAAATGTATCCTGTGCCTTGCAATGGAAACTCGGCGAGTGGCATTGTCATTTCACGAAATAATTTGATGTGCTGATTTGTTGTAATTTCCCACTGCAGTGCCATTGTCATGCGCCCTGCTACACATGCCCATGCGCAGTGTATAGAGGGGGACGTTTGCTACGGGGGGATGTCTACCACGCCACACCGGCGACACGACCAGCGAGCCAATACAGACGACACTTCACGAGCCTCAAAATGTGCGCTGCTCGCGCGATTCCTGTACAGAGAAACTCTCAGAAGAAAGTGCGAGGAACTATGTGCATACGAATAGAACAGTAAACACACGTGTGTGTGTGTGTAAGCACGCGTACAAGCCCACGCACTCGCGCCAAACGGACACGTTACACACACAGCACACACACACGCACGCACACAAGCACGCACGCACGCACGCACGCACTCACGCATGCACGCACGCACACACACACACACACACACTCACGCACAGGCGGGTTTAGGACATAGTACACACTCGGCTATTAAAGTCAAGTAGTAGCGGGAGTGGCGGGACATTTCCCTGCCGATTATGTCACCCGCCGCGAGCCGCCGCCGCCGCCGCCCCGGGAAGATCTGAGCCAATATTAGCATTTTGGAACGCAACAAGTAAGTACTTCTTAAAATTGTACTCGTCAGCAAAACATATGACAAGGAATTGACAGCAGACTGACTTCGTAGATTTTACGTAAATACTCTCACGCGTCAATTTAATTTGTATTTGATTTCCCGGTGGTATGCAAAGACTGTTGATGAATTGGTGGTGATTTGATAAGGCAGGCAGTGTGAGCGAGTCTAGTTATTCACTGCAAGCGTACGCCTGGGCCAAGCACAGTGACGGATGGGCGACGCGACTTCGCAGTTCCAGTGTTCGAAATAGGTTTTTGAAATTGGGGGGGACAAATTTCTTCCATGGTGTTGAGAATCGAGAGCTGCTGGGGTCTGCGATCATAATGCATAGGGTGGGTACAAATGTGCGGGGGATGGGTGGGGGGGTGGTGGGTTATTCAGAGAGTAGCGTTCAGAAGTTTTTTAGTTGCACTGAAACGCGAGAAATCCTGCAGGTACGCGACTAAACCGACCGCCTAGCGCTCTCTCGACTGTTACAACGGAGTGTTATTAGCGGCATGGGAACCTTGTGGCTAGTACGCGGACGTGCAAATATTGAAAAATCTTGCTTTGAATGACGTTGTGTTTAGCTGCAGTCAAATTTTCAGGAGTCATTGCTAGATGTTTTTATTAGGGTATGGCTGATGGAGGTTTAATGATGCTGGCGGTGTGCTTTAGGGCGTCAGTACAACTGCTCAGCACCGTGCTAAAACCCCTTGCGTGAGGGGTCAGGGGGATGTCTGCTCAATAATAAGGGTGATGACGATGATGATGGTGATGATGATGATGATGATAATGATGATGATGGGATGATATGAATAATAATAATAATAATAATAATATTAATAATAATAATAATAATGATAATGATAACAATGCTGTGTGTTGTGGCTAATGGCGCGTGCGAATGTTTGCTTTCAGGTTGCCGTGGTTGCGACTGCGCATGTATGTTGGCAACTGTCGCGAGTCTAGACGCTCCGATGTGGAATAACATGATGTGTGACGTCATGCCCACCATATCAGAAGACAGCCTGTCGCAGCGCTCGTCTCAGTATGGTGGGAGTAGTGACGAGAATTTTGAGCAGGTGGGTGCGCCAGAGGCTTCACTGATGCCACGCTGCTGTTGTGTGCGTGTGTGTGTGTGTGCGTGTGTGCGTGAGTGGGTGCATGCGTGTGTGTGTGCGTGTGTGCGTGTGTGCGTGAGTGGGTGCATGCGTGTGTGTGTGTGTGTGCGTGTCTAGATAACTATAAATCGGGGGTAGCAGCAAAAGCTCGTGGCAAGTGCAGTGAGCATTTGGGGTTAAATCCGGCTTTCCTCTGGGGAAATTTCTCGGGTATTATTTCTTTATCGCGAACGTTTAGAACGTCAAGTTCTTCTGCCATTCGTGATGGATTAAGAATCCTGACCCCTTAAGTTAAAAACAAATGTTGTAAGTTTATTCGAAAAGTTGTCGCACAGTTTTCGTGAGACACGCCTCCGCATTCCGTCCGACCGGATGAGCGAGACAAGCTGTCCGAGACACTGGCTTCGCTCCCCGTGCCCGGCTCTCCGCCCCCCCTGTTTCCTCCCTCAACACCCCTCCGCCCCTCACGACGCCCTGCCCCTCGCCCCTCACCTCTCTTTTGTTCCTCCTTCCTGGCCCCTCCCATTCTTTTTGTTCCTCTCTCTGCCCTCCCTCTCCCCCTTATTTCCTACGCCTCACACGTCTTTCCCTGACACCCCTCCCGCATCATAACCGGCCTCATACTCCTCTCGCCCTGTTCCTGCACCCCTCACACCTCTCGCCCCTTGACACCCTCCCCTTCATAACCTCCCCCTCACTACCCTCCCCCTGCTTACTCCCCCGCTCCGTGTTTCCTCCCCTCACAGCGCCCTCCTTTCATCCTCTCCTCCGCCCCTCCCCCTCTCCCGCTGTTTCCTCCCCACACACTACCCTTGCTCCTCACAGCCACTCCCCCATCACACCTCCTGCCCCCTCCCAGCGCGCTCGCGCCGCCTCACTACGCGCTCCCTCAACCCTCCCTCACCCCTCCCTCACACTCCGGGACGACCGCCCTTTCCTTCACACCTGCTCTCCCTTGATACAATCTCCCCTCTCTTCACCCCCCCCCCACACGCTCTTCCCTCTCTCAGCCGCCGCTCCCCCTCACACCTCCTCCCCTCCACACTCCTTCCCTTTACACCTCTTCCCCTCACACCCCATCCCCCTCAACGTTCTTCCCTCACACCAGTCCGCACACCTTCAACACCTCTTTCCCATCTCACAGCCTCCTTCCCCCTCCCACCCCATCCCCCACACCCGACTCCCGCTTCCCCCTCACCACCTCTTCCCCTCAACTTCTTCTCCCTCACACCTTTTATCCCCCTACACCTCCTTCCCTCCTCACACCTCTTCCCCCACACTTCTTTCCCTTCACACCTTATCCCCCTCACACCGTCTTCCCCCTCCACACCTCTTCCCCTCACACTTCTTCTCCCTCACACTTCTTCTCTCTACACACCCCATCCCCCTCACACCTCTTCCCCGCTCACACTCCAATCTCCCTACAGCACCTCTTCACGCTCACACCCCATCGCCCACACCTCTTCCCCTCACACCTCTTCCCTCACATCCATATCTCCCTCACACCTCTTCAGCCTCACACCCCATTCTCCCCCTCACACCTCCTTCCCTCTCACCTCTTCCCCCTCACAGACTCCCATCCCCCTCACACCTCTTCCCCTCACACCCAATTCCCCTCACCCTTTTTTAACCCTCAACCTCTCCTCTACACGTGACCTCTCCCCTATCACTTCTTCTCTCCTCTCACATCTTCTCTCCATTCCTACACTTCTTCTCCCTCACATCTCTATCCTTCCTCACACTCTTTCGCCTCACACCTACTTCCCCTTACGTACCTCTTCCCCTCACACCTCTTCCTCTCACACCTCTTCCCATCTCACACCTTCCTTCCCCTTCACACCCCATCCCCTCACCCTCCTTCCCCTCACACACGCAATCCCCTCCACCCCCTCACCCCTCACAACCTCTTCCCCTCACACCTCTTTCCCCTCACACCCATCCCCTCCACACCTCTTCCTCTCACGACGCCATCCCTCACACCGCCCATCCCCTCACACCTCTTCCCCTACCCCTCTTCCCCTCACCCACACGCCCATCCCCCCCTCACACTCCCCCTCACACCCCACCCCCCCTCATACTTCCCCCTCCCCTCGCTACGAGCTTTACGTGGTTGCTGTGTTGTTATGTTTGGCAGCTGATGATCAACATGCTGGACGAGCGAGACAAGCTGACCGAGACACTTCGCGCAGACGCAGGAGCAGGCTGCAGAGGTGCAGCAGAAAGCTAGCCGAGACGGCAGCGCGGAGCGAGAACAAGCCTCATGAGAAGCTGCAGTCCCAATACTACGGCACGGTTGAGTCGAAGCATTTCGCAGCGAGAGGTTGATGGAGCCGCGGGGGGGGGGGGGGGGGGTAATAGAGATGTTAGGGTTAGGATTAGTGTTAGGGTTAGGTTCTTCTGAGGGAAAATTAGACAAGCGAGGTAATGGCCTGTCTGGGGAAAAACACGCATGATGGATTCAAAGGTGTGGGAGAGGGGGAACTCCTCTCGCTGGGGAAGGTTCTGTGGGGGTCTCCCCAGCAAAATTTGAAAAATTTGAATGTCTTAGACTGCATTTAAGGCACCCTGAAAACAGCGATGTTAAATTTGACAACGGCGGTGCGCCCCTGTGCCTCTTATGTAGAAGAAACCCTGGATGGTTGGGAGGGGCGGTGGAGGTAGCCTGTCACTGAGCTGCCATTGCTGATACCGGGCAGACCTGTACTACTGCAGCTAGTGTCTCGCGTACTCAGGCTACTTGTAGCTGCGTCAGTCACTTGTTAGCGTTATCAAACACGCTGTCCGTACACGTGTGAGAGTGATTCAACGAGAAGTTTTCTGGCAGTCAACGCTGGACTCTCTAGCTGGATTTGCCTCACGTCCTAAAGGACTGATTTATTGATTTAAAAATCAAAAAACTTGTAAGTGCGCGAATCGACGGCGGGTTCTTGTGCCTGGACCTTTCCATTGGTGAAGTGCACGCTTACGTTCGCTGTTGCTTGTTCATGAGCAGTAGAAAAGCATTAATTCCATCATTTGCCTTTCCATCTAAAATTACCTGGCTGACCGAGATCAATAGAGAGAGAAGTTGGAGAGAGAAGGGGAGGGGAGAGAGAGCCGGAGAGAGAAGAGAGAGGGGGCAAGAAAAGGAGATAGCGGAGGTGTGATGAGGAGAGAGAGAGAGAGAGAGAGACGGAGAGGAAGAGACAGAGAGAGACGAGAGAGAGAGAGAGACCCAGAGAAACAGTGAAGACGATGGAGAGAAGAAGAGAGAGAGAGAGAGGAGAGACGTGATGTGAGTGAAGTGGAGTGAGGAGTGTGAGAGAGGGGGGGGGAGGGACTCAACTGCTGGCCTTCTGGCTGGACAAGACAGTAATCACTCACTAGACATACTGACAGGACATATACCACTACAAGGTGATACTCACCGCCAGATACACGAGCAGTGAACTCCACCTCGACAGTGATACTCGCACCTGACAGTACATACTCCACAAGACATGTGATAGCTCCCACCTGACCAGTAATTACTCCACAAGACAGTGATACTCCACCTGACAGTGATACTCACAAGACAGTGATACTCCACCTGACAGTGATACTCACAAGACAGTGATACTCCACCTGACAGTGATACTCACAAGACAGTGATACTCCACCCTGACAGTGATACTCACAAGACAGTGATACTCACCTGACAGTAATACTCACAAGACAGTGATACTCCACCTGAAGTGATACTCACAAGACAGTGATACTCCACCTGACAGTAATTACTCACAAGACAGTGATACTCCACCTAGACAGGATACTCACAAGTTAAAAACAGTGAATACTCCACCTGAACAGTGATAGGTCACAGACAGTGATACTCCACCTGACAGTGATAGTCACAAAGACAGTAATACTCACCGACAGAATTAATACTCACAAGATCAGTGATACCTCCACTGACAAGTGCTACTCACAAGGTACAGTGATACTCCACCTGACAGTGATACTCTCCTACCATGACAGTATCATACTCACTAAGACAGTGATATCCACCTGACAGTGATACTCCACAAGACAGTGATACTCCACCTGACAGTGAAAACTCACAAGACAGTGATACTCCCCTGACAGTGATACTCACAGACATGCATTACTCCACCTGACAGTGATAGTCACAGACAGTAATACTCCACCTGACAGTAATACTCACAAGACAGTGATACTCCACCTGACAGTGATACTCACAAGACAGTGATACTCCACCTGACAGTAATACTCACAAGACAGTGATACTTTCGGCCTTATAGACAGTGATACTCTACAGTCCACGCGCACGTTGCTTAGCCCCCAAGCACACACCAGAGCCTTCATGACGCACAGCAGCAGCACACGGCTGACACGCACACGCACACACACACACACACACACACTGGCACGCGCACGCATGCACGCATGCACGCACGCACACATACACGCACAAGCACACGCACACGCACAACGCACAGCACGCACACGCACACACACACACAGCACACACCACAGGCACACACACACATACAGCCTCCACGCGCGCGCGTTGCTTAGCCTCCACCATTACAACACAACATCCCCACCACTACACACACACACACACCACAGCACAGTCAACACACACACACGAACACACACATACTAACACACACAACACGCAGCGCACGCACGCACGCACAGCACGCCACGCCTACGCACGACAACTGCGGCGTTGGCTTAGCCTCCATCATACAACACACGACAGCCACCACCTTTTTAACACACACACACGCTGGTCCGGAGTTCTCGCCCCTCGTGCAATCGCCGCAGCATCGGCGCAGATATATCCACATCACATCTCCTTCGCTAGTATTTGATCCGTCGGCGGCGGCGGCGGCGGCTG